CCACTTGGAAAAATGGCACTGTGCAGGAGCCGTATCATCGTGTCAGGATCGTCTTGGTATCGGTGTAAGATATAAGCACTACCACCAGCCCATACCAAGACTGTCCCAGCAGCAGTCACGTGCTTTACAACACCAGTGATTGTAATAGATGCTGAAAAACACACACACACAACAATCAAATAAATCAAAATAAAATAACACACACACACAAATAAAAAAAAATTGAACCATGAATTAACCTCGACTGATTCCATAAGTCATAGTTTTTTTCGCTCCTGGGTTTTTCGGTTTGTCGCGAAACTACCGGATGTTAAGGCTAAAATTGTTCAAATTAGTGATAGAATCACCAAATTTGCTGTGTAATATCTTTTTAGCATAGTTAACGAAATAAAAGTAAGACCCAAGCTGGATCCATCTTTGTTTCGGAGATTTTGAGCATCGTTTTTTCCCATATAAAATGTAGGGCACCACAGGGAGCCCAATTCGAGTAAAAATACCAAAATTGAAAATAATATGGTTCTTATCTACAGAAACAATTTCTTTTAAGGTGATGTGGACAGGGTTTATAAATATCAATACCTTTTACTCATATACACATAATCTGTAAACCATTTGAATCCAAAATGCATAAAAAAATACGATACAAAGCAGCTATTTTTAGTATTTTCATTTATTGAYGTCGTAAATTGTTGTGGTGCTGTACTTTGTTTTTCATATTTAAATTACTGAAGCTTTGAATATCTAACTGCACAGACTGTTGAACCATTTAAATATTAGTAACACATATAATCTAGTTGGAATCTAAACAACAACGTTATTGCGCAAAAAAATGAATATTATACAGTTCAGTCCTCATGGTAGCAGCTTCCTGCACATTGACACAAAGCGGTACATGGAAGGTCTGCTTTGGTGCATTTGCAGAGACCATGACAGGCTTGCTTACATCCACACCYAATAAGCTCTTAGCAGATCTTGGACGCCTCTGGAAGAACTGTCCATTTCGGAATCCACTTGTCAGAACTAGAGAGCTGCCATCCCCAATCTGCTGGATTTTGCATGGTATCTAGGGTCCTTCCCCAAACACGTCCTGCCTGGTACACTGCTCTCCTTGAATGTTGTTCAAGAGCTGCTTGAGTAGGTGGGACAGCTTCGATGCTCATTCCTTGGGAAAATAAGGATTGACGTGCAACATTGACTCTGCTATGAGTAGATGTACGACTGGACATAAGGATGATAAATTTTTCTAATGCATGGAGCTGGTCATCTGTTAACGCATTCTGTGGCGTAGAATACTTTATCTAGTTTGTTTATTCACGCACCGCGATATTCTTTTCTGGTGGCTTGGCACAACGACGTCAAAACACTAGAAATATCGATCCTGTCTTTCTCAATTTTCAAAAACTTCACGCTGTAAAAGCGTAAGTTACGCTTATTGGGCTTTACCTAAACGAGCAGGAGACTGGGTACTAGTTGTCTAAATTAATTAACCTAATTAAAAAAATAATCATATCATTGGCAAGACCACCACAAAATAAATAAGATTCCAAAGTTTGGTTGCTTTTGGTTAAATAATGTGTAAGAAATGGACATTCAAAATGTTCGAAAATTACAAGGAAATGTATGGATTGGATGGACAGTGTCCAAGATGGTTTTAAGATATTTTATTCGGCCTTCAATGACGAGTAGTGTGGACGCTCTGTAACCAGCCCTGTATTTTTTTTATGACTGATGGTTATATTTGTTTAAAAATAGCTCTAAATCCCTTCAAAATCACACACAGCAATGTTAAATAACATCAACAACACATAAGATTAAGGTAAGATGTATTTTATCAAAA